TGAGAACATGTCGGTGAGAACATGTCGGTGAGAACATGTCGGTGAGAACATGTCGGTGAGAACGTACCGATAAGGACGTCGGTGAGAACATGTCGGTGAGAACATGTCGGTGAGAACATGTCGGTGAGAACATGTCGGTGAGAACATGTCAGTGAGAACATGTCAGTAAGAACATGTCAGTGAGAACATGTCGGTGAGAACATGTCGGTGAGAACATGTCAGTGAGAACATGTCGGTGAGAACGTGTCGGTGATCAGACGTACCTTTAAAGAAAACAAATCTGCCGTCAGGTCTCTCGTAGGCGGCATCGATGCGAGGAGGCAGACCTTTCCAGAACTGGTCAATCTGCATGGGATAGCCCTCCTGAACTTTGTTGTTCCTCAGGCGCCAGAACCATTGGTCCTATGGCACAGTGGAATCAGAGAACTCAATACCTACAGCCATGGAGTGTGCTTTAACCAGACAATCTGGCGGAACACTGAACCTTAAGAACCTTGTTCTGTTCTGATGTTGTTCTAACTATACCCACCTTGAAGACGAACATCTCTCGTCTGAAGAAGGCCACTGTGTTGAAGTCTCCGTCGCAGATGTTGGGTTTACCGTTTCCGGGCAGTGCGGGGCGGTCACCGGAGGGGCGACCTGGGCGCGAGGGCCGCTCGTGTTTCCGCTCAGAGGTGGGGTAGGTCCGTCGAGCAGGTAAGGTGGGCAAAGGTCTGGTCGGCTCCAGCATGGCTGTGGGGATACCTGGGAAAAGTAACAAAGAAGACCAAGTTTCATTAAATGGTTACCAAAAAATATGCAAATAAAGAAATACAGTAAAATACACAATGGACTGCATGTGTGTGTACCATAGATTTTCGTGTGTGTGTGTGTGTGTACCATAGATTTTTTGAATGCCCTGCAGGTCGTCCAGAGGCAGTTTGAAGTTGTGTGTGTCCATGTACTGGTAGAATGGAGCCATGATGGCACTAGGATCGTTGGAATGCTCCAAACCCAAGGCGTGACCCAACTCATGGACCGCCACCAGGAACAGATCATTACCTGCAGACAGACAGACAGACAGACAGACAGACATGTGTGAATTCATTTATGTTTATGCTAATAATGCTAACGCAGATGGAGTTCTGGATCTGTGTGCGTCTCCGATGGTAGTTGGTTAAGATCATCATTATCAGCACCATCTTCATCATCTTCATCACATAACCATCATCACCATCATCTTCATCACATAACCATCATAATCATCATCATCTTTATCACCATCTTCATCATCACTTCATCATCATCATCATCATCATATTCATCATCATCACCATCATATTCATCATCATCACCATCATAATCTTCATCATCATCCCATCATTATCATCACTTCATCATCATCACCATCATATTCATCATCATCACCATCATATTCATCATCATCACCATCATAATCTTCATCATCATCCCATCATTATCATCACTTCATCATCATCACCATCATATTCATCATCATCACCATCATATTCATCATCATCACCATCATATTCATCATCATCACCATCATATTCATCATCATCACCATCATATTCATCATCATCACCATCATAATCTTCATCATCATCCCATCATTATCATCACTTCATCATCATCATCACCATCATAATCTTCATCATCATCCCATCATTATCATCACTTCATCATCACCATCATATGCATCATCATCACCATCATAATCGTCATCATCATTCCATCATTATCATCACTTCAACATTATCATCTACATCACCACTTCATCACATAACCATCATCTAGGGGTGTGCCATCTAAGGGGACTGTTAACGATTATCGATGCATCTTTTTTCCCTATTCAGAGTTTCTTTTTTTCCCCCTTACTTTGTCATTACGTCATACCTTTTCACAAGGTATATTTGTCAGTATTCATTAATTAAGGTGACCAAACAAATTATCTTTTATTCATGTCAAATCAACAAATGATCCAACAGGAACCATTGAACCAATGGGAAAAACGTGGACCTGGAACAACCAGAGCGGTTGTGTTCCTGTCAAAAAAAAAATCGTTTTTGAACATTTATGAATCGTAATCGAATCGTCACGTGTCGCATCAAGATGAATCTAATATTGTCAATGTATTGGCACACCCCTAACATCATCATCATCTTCGTCACATAACCATCATCATCATTCCATCATCATAATCGTCATCATCATTTCCATCATCGTCACCTACATCACCATCTATATCATCACTTCATCATCATCTCCATCACAATCATCACCGTCTTCACCTTCAACACGTTCATCATCATCATCAACCATCACTGAAGAACAGTCTAATCCAAGGGGCGGCCAATCAGTCAGAGGCTAAGAGCCACAATTTAAACTGTTACCGCAAAGAGCCGCATGGGCACAAAGACGTAAATAAAACTCTCCCACTCTGTTACAACTTCCTGTGTACATCTTAATATCTGTGCTTATCGAGTATTCCTTAAGTCATTTGCCTCAACTCCCGTCCGCATGAGATTGACGTACCGTAAACATCATCAGGTTGGCCATGCCTGGTCCAATCTGTCAGCAGCAGACACGAAGTTACAGGATGAATCATATGAGTGAGCGTGTGTGTGTGTGTGTGTGTGTGTGAGACCGAGGACTGCTGACCTGCAATTCCTCTGCTTCACTAAGAAACTGTTGACTTCTCTTTTTTTTTTTTCTTTTCATTATATTCGGAGAAGAAACAGAGCGAGAGACGGAGGGAAGCGCTGAGAGAGAAATCTGTTCTGACAGATAAAGATAATACGCTCTGACACTGTGGTCGCCCCTCTCTCTCTCTCTCTCTCTCTCTCTCTCTCTCTGTGTGTGTTCTCCAGCTGTTCGTGCGGCAGATCTTTATTTCTTTTCTTATTTCTTTTTTTTCGTTTCTCACTCCAACAGCCACTCAAGGATAAACTGATCCAGGAGTCCAGCTGGTCGGACAGCTCCTGGAGCTG